ATCTGCGCCATTTGTAAATGATAATAACCCCAGTCTCCTAGGGTTATTGTGAACATGATATGAATTACTACCTGCAGAATATGCGGCACTAGTAAGTACTTGATAAATGTCATCGCTGATGACTAATGAATTTAAAAGAAAAAGATGTCAACAAGTGGACCAACGCCTTTCTCTACTTGGAAGGTGTGTTTCATTCGCTTTTTCTTCATATTTTCTGCTGGTTCAGAACTCACACCTCCTCAATATTTATGGAACTTTCTGTTTTCTGGGAGAATTATTCCAACTAGTCTTTGAATCCTTAGTTTTAGCTGCCAACAGGAAACAGGGACACCTTCCTGACCCCTCAGAGTTAACAGGTTCTGGCACCAAACACATACCTCAACTCCTGCTCCCCTCAAAAGGCAACACACTCAAGGCTTGAAACCCTGTGCCCAAATCTGACTTCTTTTCTCCTTCGCCTCAATATCAAACTTATATAACCAGATCTTCTTCCTTCTTTCATTGTAATGTCTCATAGATGCATTTCTTCCCTATTCCCATTTCTTCCTTTCTCACTCTGGTTTCCCCCCTATTAACAGTTCCCTGATGACCTTCCTGTGTCTACTTTCAACCCAGTGCCAAATTAATGATCAACCTATTACTTACCATAACTCTTTAAATTGCTTATCTCCCTTTGTTAGAACTTTCAATAGTTCTCTGTTAGGGACAGTCCGAATTCCTATGCGTGGCATTCAAAGCTTTATTTGGAACAGTCCCTCTGCACGTTCTCAACTAGGGGACGGTGCCTTGAATCCTCCCTGCTCAGGGCTCAACTCTTGCCTTCCCCCCTGCCAGTTGAAATTCCATCCCTTCCGGAAGACCTGGTTCCATTCCCAACATCTCACGTGCAGCTTTCGCTGGCCTATTATTCCAGCCCCGATGTCCTTCATTACTTAGGGACCTCACCCAACGTAACACTGAACTGTGTGTTATACGCTCGTGACTTTGTCTTATCTTCGAAACGTCTCAGGGAGTGCGGCCTTATTTCTTGCGGAAACTCCACATTACCTAGCCCAGGACCGGGCATTCAATAAATGCTGAATGAATGCGTGCATGAGTAAATGACCATGCCACTGGCCCAAGCCGTTCTTGCTAACTTCCAACACCCACCCCTTTTCCTACCAGAGGCACGCGAGTCGGGCCTCCGGACACCGCCGGGAGGCACTGGCGTAGGCTCTGTTTCTGAATCCAGGGCATTTCCACATAGCCTGCTTTCCACGATTTAGCTCTGACCCGAGGACAACGCTGCTCCCACCTCCCCGAGGGGCCGCTCGGTGGGAATCGGGTTAGTTTCGGGAAACAAGGTCCTCAGCGCTCATTTCCTTGCAGGGGGTCAAGGCGCTGCGGCCAAGGCTGGGGGATTCGGCCCCTCGCCCTCCCCCTCTCGGCCATTGGGCCGCCTCCGCGGCGCGCCCTGTCGACGGGGCGGGGCCCTCCCTCTCCCATCTCCCCTTGGTCCCCTCCCCTATTTCCCAGGGTGGAAACGTTCCGGGGCAGGAGGCGTGGAGGGGCTGCGGAGGGGCGTCCGGTTACATCTCCGCCCTTCCTCAGCCTCCTGGCCGCGGAGCCGCTGGGTTTGCGGGACAGCAGTTCGGGAACATGTTGGCCTCGAGCAGCCGGAGCTGGGCTGCGTGGACGCGGGCGCTGCTGCTGCAGCTGCTGCTGGCAGGGCCCGGGGGCTGCCTGAGCCGCCAGGAGCTCTTTCCCTTTGGCCCCGGACAGGGGGACCTGGAGCTGGAGGCCGGCGACGACCGCGTCTCCCCCGCCCTGGAGCTGAGCAGGGGGCTTCGCTTCTACGACAAATCCAACATCGGCTCCGTCTACGTGAGTGCGCCCTGGGGTGGGAGGTTGGGAGGTGGGCGCCGCCGGGAGGGAGGGCGCGGGCTGGAGCCGACGTCGGAAGGAAGGGCCCGGGGCGGGCTGGGGTCGCCGGGGGAGCAAGACGGACGTTGGCGTCGCAGGCGGGGGGCAGGGACCCGGTGGCCATCGGGGCTCGGGGTGCGGCGCTGGGTCTCCGAGCCGAGAGAGAGTTCCGGCCTCTGTCGCGCCCTGAGGCCCCCGCCGCCTCATCACTGTCCCCGAGGGACACGCGGGTGTGGGGAGCCGGCTCGCCCCGTCTGCGCGGCCCTGCGTGAGCCCTGGCCCTACCCCCAGGACTTCGGGACCTGGGGAGGTGTTTCCTCCCCGGCGGCTGTGGGCAGAATCGCCGCCGGGAAGTCGGTTCGTGGCTCGCCATTGTCCGGTGCCTTTCGGGCGGGACCTGGCCGGCCCGGGTGTGGCCAGGTGCGGGCGCGGAGCCTCCCCGGGGAATGGCCAGAGCTGGGGCGCAGCAGCGCGCGGGCATGGGGACTCCCGTGGGTGCCGAGGCCAAGCCGAGCTCTCAGCCCCGGAACGTAGCCGACAGTCCCGAGAGAACTCCAGATATGTCTTGGCAATGATTCTGCTCTCCAGTTGAGCGCGTTTCAGAGTCCAGAGTTCAGGGCTTGGAACGCAGGGCACCCTGGTGATCCAATTTCCTGTGGCCAAGCATTGTCACCATGGGGGGCCCCAATGAGAAATGGGGCCAGGTAACCTTTAGTTCTCCCGCGCCTCCTCAGAACTGGCAGGGCCTGTGGGACGCTGTCAACTTGGTAAGGTCCCTTCCTGCTGCCGCCTTCCCTAGCCGCGCACCATGTGGAGTTCATAAAAAGCTGTGCGCATTCCAGAAGCAAGGAGAACAAAACACGCGACCGGAGCCTGTCCTGCCGGTGAAATGGCTGTGCGCGCCGTCTGGCCCGGGCAAACTACGCGCTGGGCGACACCCACGTGGAGCTTGTCGGCTTTGCATAAAAAGGATGAGTCCTAACGTCACAGTCCACAGAGAGCATAGCCCTTGTTGGTTGACTACCCTGACCCGGTAAGGCAGTCTGGTGGAGCCTATAGACCCTCTTCTAAGAACGTTTTTAAATTTATAAAATAAAATCCATGGGATTACCAAGGAAACCGACTACATTGAAATGCACATTAAAGTATTTTTAAAAACTCAAAATTTTGTGCAGTAATAGATGTGCTTATTTTTAGCTGCATTAAATAACAAGATGTAGCAGGAGATTTAACAGTGGGTCTAATAATTACTGAAATTTCCAAGGTAATAAAGATTGTAAACAATATTTGAAGATACCTGCAGCAAATATAATGTAACATGGATGTATGTGTGACTTCTATTAGGGACAGAGTCACTAAGTGCTGCTGCTACTGTGATTTGTTGTCTACATTCACAATGGAAGGAAATGCTAAATATCAGTTACAAAAAAAACCAAAAAGGACAAAGCAGTTGCCCCAAGTCAGTTTGATACATAGCGGCCCCATGTGTTGCAAAGTAGAACTGCTCCACAGGGCTTTGGAGGCTTTGACCTTTTGGAAGCAGAGTGCCAGGTATTTCTTCCCAGGTGCCTCTGAGTGGGTTGGTCACTAGTCGAATGCTAAACCGTTTGCGCCACCTAAGCCAAAACAACAAATTGGTTGCTGTTGAATCAATTCTGACTCGTAGTGACCCGATAGGACAGAGTAGAAGTGCTCGGTAGGGTTTCCAAGGTTGTAAAATCTTTATGGAAGCTAACTGCCACGTCTTTCTCCCGCAGAGTGGCTGGTGGGTTAGAACCTTTCGGTTAGCAGCTGAGTGCTTGACCACTGCGCTGCCAGGGCTCCTCCAAATATGAATTAGGGTTTAGTGAAAATAAAAATGTAATTTCTTTTTTCCCATCTAAGTTTACAGACCCACTGAATTCTATCCAGGAACCCTTATGGGGGTCATTGGACCCCAGGTTATGAACCTCTGTGTTAAATTGTAATATCAGACTAACCCCATTACCTTCTAAAGACCTGGAACATCCATTCGTAATTTAAAAAAAAAATAAGAGAGATTCTTATCAAACCATTGCTTCCGCATCTATTTGGGTTTAATCTGCATTTTAATGAGAAAGAATCCCAGAGCTCTTTTTGGATCTTATATGTGTGCTGCAGGTTGAGTTCCCCAGAAAGCAGACTCTGAGATGGAGATTAGGGAACCAATCGTTTAGTTAGGAGGAACTCTTCAGGGACACACCTGTGGAAAGGAGGGGAATGAAGCAAGACTGAGCAGAGGGAGAAGCTGAGCTGCAGTGCAGTCTCGAGGAAGGTCTCAGCCAACGCCACGGGCAGGTCTGAAACTGGAATGGCCTTTCAGAGCTGTCTCAAGTTGGAGTGAGAAGCCTGGCCCTGTAACCTTTCATTGATTAGTCATTGGGTAAGGGCTCCCCTGGAAGGAGGGGTACCCCTGGATGGGGCAAACTTTTTCAAGGAGGGGTGACAACTGAAGCCCGCATCCCTAGGAGCTGAAAAGGGATCTGGGTGACACATGTTAGCATCCAGCATAATCTGTAACTGGGTAGGTGCTCTTCTGAGCTGATGGAGACCTTCACATGACTGAGTGAGAAGGTGAGTTGACAGGGAGCTATGCACTGTTCTGGGCAGTAGACCAGGAAATAAAAGGAACATCCATCAAGAAAGAAAGCAGTTATTGACTGGGTATACTTATATGTGCCAGGGATGTACTATTTTTTTTTTTTTTTACTTTTTTATTTTTGTGAAAATAGACACAACAAAACATACACTCATTCATCAATTTCTGCATGTGCAGTTCAGTAACATTGGTGACATTCCACATGTTGTGTGACCGTTCTTGTGATCTCTACCCATATTGTTTCATCATTGATTTAGACTCACTACCCCCTAAACTTCTCATCTAGGCTTTAAAGTTACTGTTGACAATTTGATCTCATATAGATAATTCTTTAACAGAGCAAAATGCTCATGGCAAACATTCTTTACTAATTTAGCTAAACAGTTGTTTAGTTTAAAGCTGACTTTGGGGGATAATTTTGGTTCATGGTTTGAAAATCTCTGAGCGATAGATTTGGAGATTCCTCCAGTCTCAACAGGTCCAGTAAATCTGGATTTTGAAAGAATTTGAAATTCTGTTCCACATTTTCCCCCGTTTGTTCAGGATCCATCCATTGATCCCTTGATCAAAATGTTCAGTAATAGTAGCCAGGCACCACCCAGTTCTTCTGGTCTCATGGATAAGGAGGCAGTAGTTTGTGGAGGCAGTTAGACCTGCAGTCCAGGTCCTTCTCTGATTCTTGGATTTCCTTCTTCCTCTGTTGCTCCAGGCAAATAGGGACCAATTATTGTATCTTGGATGCCCACTCACAAGCATTTAAGACCTTAGGCACTGCACGACAAACTAGGAAATGGAACAGTAACTCAAAAAACACTATTAGGCCAATTGACTGGACAGTCCCACAAAGCCATGACCCTGTACATTCCACACAACAGAACTAATCCTATGAAGTGTTTGGATGTACTTAAGTAGTATCAGCGACGTTAGCCCCTTCTTTTTTTTTTTTTTTAGGTTGCTGTTGTTGTTATAAGGTTACATATAACACAATATTTGCCATTTTGCCCTTATTTTGCCCTTATTCTGGTGCCCTTAGTGATATCAGTTACACTTATCAAATTGTGTAACCATCACCCTCAATCGATGTGAATTTTCCCATAAAGCTACTACTTCCCAGAGAATAATCCCCTCTCTTCCGCCCCCCTCCTGCCCCAGGCAACCACTAATAGCCATTTGGTCTCTGTATATTTACTTATTCTTGTCTTTTCATATAAGTGAGGTCATCCAGCATTTGCCCTTTTGTGACTGACTTACTTGACTCAGCATAATGTCTTTGAGGTTCATCCATGTTGTAACACGTATCAGGACTTCACTTCTCTTTATGACTGAGTAGTATTCCATTGTATGTATGCACCACATTTTCTTTGTCCATTCATCTGTTGATGAGCATGTAGGTTATTTCCACCTTTTGGCTATTGCGAATAGTGTTGCAATGAACATAGGTGTGCATGAGTTACTTTTAGGTCCCTACGGCATATACCAGGGCCCTGGTGGCACAGTGGTTAAGAGTTCAGGCTGCTAACCAAAAGGGATCAGCAGTTCAAATCCACCAGCCGGTCCCTGGAAGTCCTGTGGGGCAGTTTTACTTTGTCCTATAGGGTCGCCATGAGTCGGAATCGACTAGACGGCAATGAGTTTGGTTTTTTTGGTTTTTAGAGTATGTACCTAGGTGTGAAATTGCTGGGTCCTATGGTAGTTTTTTTTTAGGTTTGTGAGGAATCACTGTACTGTCTTCCACAGTGGTTGTACCCATTTTACATTCCCATTCAGCAATGGATAAGGGTTTTGATCTCCCCACATCCTTGCTAACATTTGTTATTTTCTGGGTTTTTTTGGTCATTGCCATTCTCGTAGGGAATGAGGTAGCATCTCCTTGTGCTTTTGATTTGCATCTCTCTAATGGAGCCCTGGTAACGCAGTGGTTAAGAGCTATGGCTGCTAACCAAAAGATGGGCAGTTCGAATCTACCTTCTACTCCTTGAAAACTCTATGGGGCAGTTCTACTCTGTCCTGTAGGGTCGCTAAGAGTCAGAATTGACTCAATGGCAACAAGCATGGTTTGGTTTGGGGTTTTAATGACCAGTGATGATGAACATCTTTCATGTGTTTGTTGGCTGCTTAAATATCCTCTTAGTGAAGTGTCTGTTCATGTTGTTTGCCCATTTTTTGACTGGGTTATTTGTCTTTTTGATGTTAAGTTGTAGAAATTTTATATATATTTTAGATATTACACCCTTATCAGCTACATCGTTCCTGAAGTTTTTTTCCCAGTCTGTAGGTTGTCTTTTTACTCTTTTGATAAAGTCTTTTGATGAACATAAGTACTTAATTTTTATGAGGTCCCAGT